AGAAGCGAGGCAACCAGTCTGTGCCACCACCACCAACCATTCACACACACCAGACTCATTCTAATGTGGGGGAAGTGTCTTGCCTAAGGGCCGCAGCTGCCCCACTGTGGCACCTGGTGTTCCCAGAGGTCTCCCATCACAGCACTAACCAGACCCTGCCCTGCTTAGCCTCAGAGGTCTGACAGGATCTGGCTTTCACATCCAGGTTATTGACATTTTTAAGCAAGAAAAAACCCCAAGCATTAAGCATTAGCCAAAACGTTAGCTTAGCCTATGCTAGAATTATTTGACATTTTCTCATTCAGAGTTTTGCTGATTAAGAAAAAGTCTAGTTTTAGATAAAGATACATTTTTATACATATTTGTGTTCATCTTGGCCTCAAACATGATCTTGAGAAAATATACAGCTGAATAATGTGATAGGCTGCGCAACAGTCCCATCAAGTGGAAGAAATGGGGAATTACATTTGGCGAGATTTAAAGCTGAATCTAACATGTCTGTACAGAGCACATGGGTCCAACAGAGATTCACAAAAACATATCATTATACACAGTTTACAACACAGATGACTATAATCTGAATTAATAATTACTCTGAGACAGTAAGAGCAATAAACAGGACTTAAATTACAATCTGTGAGTATATATTATTCATTATTAATATATTAAAATATTGATTCAGTTCCAGATTCTCCAATGAGACAAAAACATTTAGTTTTATTTCAAGAGCTGTGGCTTTATTTATTTTTTCCTCATTCCAAGGGAGACATTTCTAATATATATTTTTAAAACAAGATAATTTTGTTTGGAAAATCTAGAATTTACTGCATTCAGAATCTTCTCGAATTAAAGCTGCACTGACTGACTTTGGGATTTTGAAGCCGCGGACTCGCTGGCCTCGCTCTTTCTGCTCCCCTCCCCTCAAAGCTACACTCACTGTTGTTGACGGAGCTAGCGTCTCCCAATATGGATAATACATGGACATGGATTTGCACGTGGATGGCGTGACCACAGAACGATAGAAGTGCGGAGGAACGGGACTTTCTATTGGATGGCTGTCTCGCTGTGTAAGCAGTAACCGGTGATGAAGACGAGGAAGCTTCAGGTTAGCTCCGCCGCTTGTTGTGCTAACTCAGCCGTCTATGCTAACGGAGACCTGTAGATTTCTCACAAAAGTGGGTACTAGTGGTGCGCTGTGATTGGTCACAATCTGCGACCCGAAACACATCTCTTCCTTGTTTCATCAAAACTCGATCTAAAATATAATGTCACGTCAGCACAAATCTGTGCTACTTTTTCTTCAAAAGGACGTTTATCCCAAAGCACTACATGGACATGGATAGACTTTAACTAAGGAAACGAAAATAAAGTCAGTTAGTGCAGCTTTAAGACACATTTTCGAAAATTTGAGCAATTTCTTGACATATATTTAATTACTTTTGCAGTGTATATACAAGCTTATATCTTTTTGAATGGCAATGACATTTTATTGCATTTGATTCGATTTAACTAAACTAAAACTATCTCAATCTGGACTAGTGTGTTTTATTGTATGTTTCTTAAATTAATAATGTCTTTATCCTACGTTCTTTGTTCTTCGGCGAATGACTTTTACTTGACTCCATGTTTTCACTTTCCCTTCTGTCACTTTCATAGTTTTCATAAAAGTGTTTTTTAAATACATTTAAATGTGCACTATTGTCCCTGTAGGGAAATTTGTCCTGTGATGCCACTAAGGCTTACGTCAGAAACAGTGGTCGCCGTAGCAACAGCGCCCGGGAACCATCTCCAGATGTTGATGCTTGGCTTGGTCAGGACCAGAGCTGGAGGATTTAACCTAGTGACATGTTTTTAGTGGTAGGGGAAACCGGAGCACCCGCAGGAAACCTACGCAGACATGGGGAGAACATGCAAACTCCACTCAGAAAGGCCCTATTCCGACCGGGATTCGAACCCGGGACCTTCTTGCTGAGAAGCCACCGTGCCGCCCTAGTTTGTCTCAGTATTTACCCGCTTTGTCTCATATTGTTCTATTCAAATCACTTTTTACAGTGCAGATAACCCAGCAGACATTTATAGACGAGCTACGACGTTTGTACCGATTTATCTCACTTTTTACAGTGTGTATATTTATTGTACGTATAGCCCTGTCACACATAGTCTCACTTTTTACAGTGTATACACCTTAAATCATTTAGGCGCAACATGTACCACTAATTATCCACATTAAAACAGAAAAACACCTGTTCATGGTTTGAAAAAGGACGAAGCATAAAGTTTGTATCAATCCAAACGGAAAGAATCCAGTCTGTGGCTCCTCTGTCTCTGTGTGTTTTTCTTATTGTTTTTACAGTGTATACAATATAACATCAGAACTTACATTTGATAAAATGCCTTAATTCCAGTCTTTAATTCTCTTTTTACGGTGCATAGAAATAAAGAATTTTTTGACCTGTGTCATATAATCTAATTTTCAGTCACTTTTTACAGTGTGTAAAACCTAAATATTTCACGTCATATTAAGTATTTGGATTACGTAATTCTGGCTACGTATTCTTTGGTTTTTCTCTCAAACAAGTCCCATCACTTTTTACAGTGCAGGCCTAAAATACTACTCAAATGGTCTCATATTTGCTCCTACTTTGTTTTGTCAAGTCACTTTTTACAGTGTATGTCGTTATTTTACGCGCGAAAACACATGAAATGTCCAATAGGCAAAGGCAAGGTTATTTATATAGCACAGGTCATACAGAAGAATGTACAAAGCTTTAAAAACATCAATAAACACAAATATATAATGAAATCTCTCAGTTTTCTGCATCTAAACAGAACTTCAACCTGGATTTGAAGGTATATTAAAGGCGACTCTTTTCTGCCTGTTTTCTATCAGGTCCGTTTGTATATTTTTATAAAGTGCACGTAACCATCACGCGCAGTGGAAATAACTATAGCTTCAACATTTCCTATACTTCATGTGGACGTTGTTTTCCTGAAGCTGTAATGAATCGCGGCGGGAGGGGGGAGCTATGGGGGAGGTATGGGGGAGGTATGGGGAGCTATGGGGGAGGTATGGGGGAGGGTGGGGGAGGGTGGGGGAGGTTTATGGCCGTCCCTGGTTAGAGCTCGTGCTTCATTAGTGCAGTAAATGTGGCCTGGGCCTTTAGCACTTTATCTTCACCAGGATCTAAACCACAAACACGAGCCGCGCGCACGTCCTCGAGGCGGTCGCTTTGAAGAAAAAAACTAAAGAAAAAACTACAATCTGAATCAATGATGTATAAAAAAAAAACCTGTTGGAGCGTGACGTCATCATAAAGGCGCCGCATTGTTGAATTAAAGCAGGTTTGTGACGTCATGGTGTGAAAATTACATCAGAGAAATTGGGAAAATTCGAGAATTTATTATCCATTTGCAGTAAAACCACATTGGAAAAACTGTGCAAGACTATACCCAGAATGCACCAAATGTAATTAAATAAAACTATTTCCCCCAAAAACATTTATCTGAAAATGTTCAAATCTTTCATTTTAGTTTCAAGTTAAAAACATATTTCTGTGAATCAAACCAGATTTTTTTTTCACCAAAAAAACTGATTTTAAGAACAAAGTCATAAAGTATAATAATAACTGATTTGTTTGCTTTTTTTGATCTCACATTATGACTTTATTTGTTTTGGTTTTATCCAATTTCTTGCAAAACACAAAGTAAAATTTCACTATAAACATTTACAACATGTGAGAAACGGAAGAAAACTTTTTTAACATTTTATGACGTTCACAAAAAAAGTTAAAATATTTTCCTGAATTGTTTCATGTTTAGACTTTTTCACCTCCTTTACTTTAGTGTTTTATTAGTTCTTTGTGACTTCTCTTATTCTTCATATTGTGGAAATGTTATTATAATTTAACTTTAAATGTCTCTCGCTTTGGCAGAAGTCAGACTTTAGGTAAAAGTCCTACGTGTATTTTATTTATTCATTTATTTAATTATTTATTTAAATTGTGGACCTGAAAATACATCCAATATGACAGTTACATTTACAATATTTATTTATTTTTTCTCACACCACTGAAAAAAAGCAGAAAGAAAGTAAAAGTCTTTCTTGTTGATCTGGACCTCGAGTCTGCAAATAAAGTTATCATCATCTTAAAACAAAAATAATCATAAAATGGACTTTAGCTTCAAACTGTTTTTACTTTGAAATAAAATCAATCAGAATGTGCCAACTTTGTCCAAAAGGAAACAGTTTTTAATGAAATACAAAATAAAAAAAAGAAAATTACCAGTGACCAAAATGCAGCTAATTTTAACCTGTGAAAATATTTATGTATAATTTTAAAATGCATTTAAATGAATGTAAGTCCCTCTTGTTCACACGCTCGAGGCTGTTTTGACTTTTTAAAAATACTCAATTCTTTCTAATAAAATCACACATTGTTTTTACACTTTACAAAATATTCTGTTTTTAACTCATTGATTGTTTGAAGTTTATAAAAACATTAAGCTTAACTCACAGTCCTGCTCTTTACTCTCCTGCTCTGACTCACAAAGCCTCCACACGCACAGACACCGGGCCTGGGACGTCACCTCACGCGCACGGACGCAGACAGCCCTCCCCGGTGTCCCCTGCAGTGCCCTTTCACGGCGGCAGGTGACGCTCTTGGCTCGTCCTCCTCATTACGCGCGGATTACCGAGTCACCGGAGCCACAATTTACGACTGGTCAACAAAAGCACGTGACCGCCTCTCTCTCCTCTCCTCACCTCTCCCCCCTCCTTTCCCTCACCCCACCCCCATATTTGGACACACATATACAACACACACACACATACTAAACTTGTGCGCAACGCTATAATTCACTTTTACGTCATAAATCGCCGAAAGTGGCCCGCGCTGCCGTCGTTACGAGAAATTTACAACTATCCAAAAGCGCGCGCGCGTGGGGGTGCCTTAAAATTACGCACAAAAACGAGAGAAATAACAAGAAAGAAAAATAACTAAATGAGCTCCTACTTTGTGAACTCGTTCTCGGGGCGATACGCGAATGATTATCAACAACTGCTGAATTATGGAGGCGCGGGCAGCGGCGGAGGAGGCGGTGGCAGTGGGACCGGGACCGGCGCCGCGTACAGGGACCCCACCGCGATGCATCACCCGGGGACTGCTGGCTACGGCTACGGGTACAATGGCATGGATCTGTCCGTGAGCAACACCGGGAGAAGCGGTGGGAGCGGCGCGTTCGGAGGAGGGGAAGGTGGAAGAGGCTTCGTAGGTGGCACGGAGCCGCGTGGAGGCTACAGCAGGCAGGGAACCGCGACCTGCTCCCTGACTGACGCGCTCCTGTCACCGCGTCACAGCAGCAGCAGCAGTGGCAGTGGAGGCGGGGAGGATGAGGCTAAACTTGGGTCCAAACAGCAGGAGAGCAGCGGTGGCAGCGGCGTTGGAAGTTTGTGTCAAGCCTCTGAAAGCATCGCCTCCAAGCGCTTCACCGACTTGGAAGAGCCAGACGTGGAGGAGCAGCAGCAGCAGCAGCAGCAGCAGAAGCAGGTCTCCGCGGGGGCAGAGGCTCCGCAGATATTCCCCTGGATGAGGAAGCTCCACATAAGCCACGGTACTGCTGCTGTCTTTGTGTAGTCGATGTGGGATGTTTTACAAGACAGTGGGGAGCAGAATTTATGACCGCAATTAGACGTGGCCGTAAGCAAATAGAAAAGGGTTTACGAGTGGATTTGCATGAGTTAAAGTGCGTGAATAGAGACGTGTCTGAACTCTGAATACTTTGAATTCAGCGTGTTCGCCTTTCAGACTCTGACAGTGAGTTTATGTACAGACAGACAAGGACAGGAGCGTCTCAAAAGCCTATTTACGACTGGATCTGGGTTAAAACTACTTTTCCTCCGCGTGAATGTGTCTGTAAATGTAGAGATAAAGTCAGACACATTTACAGCACTGTCCGAACTATAACACACTTGTTGATATCGCTACTTATTCAGTAAATACATAAACTATTAAGGAAATCTAACACAATTTATGGACCAAAGTCTATATATGCATTTACCGATTTTTAACAATTTCATTCTCTGACTTGTGTTGGTGAATCAGCTTTGTAAAGTCCTCTGAGATACTATACTGTTGAGATACTGTAAATCTATACAAAACAAAAATACCTTGAACTGAACTGAAGTATTAACGGCGCATGCGTAAAAGGGCACTGTACGATCTGTAACTTATACATTTATGATTATTTTTATAAATCCCAACGCGTGTAAACTGTAATTTCAAATAATCAAATGGTCAAATACGAACGAGGCTGGTGCGTAAAGCTCATGTCTTTCCCACTCTCTCTGCTGCATCCAATCACGAGTTTTCATAACAATATAGACAATATTTGAGAAAAAGAGAAGCTACAGCTATTAGTGACGTCCAACGGTTATAGACAACGTAACGTTTATTATGACACGTAAATGAGTTTGTTTTGTTCATTAAAAAGGGCTGACAGAACTTTAACTAGATATGTCTAATAATTCATTTCCCAATTTCTCTATTTTAACGCGTAAAACCCCCTTTTCTTTGGCTATAATCTTGTTCATTTTCATTAATACTCTTTTATTTTAGGCCAAACGAACCAGAACTAACCGACTATCGCGTGTGTAAAAACTGCCTCTTCCTGTTGCCATGACCCGCGAGTCATGCAAAAGAATCACGCCTTGAACCTGTTTGTTCAGAGCGAAGGCAAAAACCAACCCATTCATAAATATTCGATCATCTGCGGTGAACCCAGCACGTAAAAGGAACAGGGAAAGACCCAAACAGATCGATATCTCCAGTCTGGATGCGTGCGTCGTGCGTAAAACCTGCGTCGTATTTGGCGTTATGTGGATCTGAGAAACTGTATCATTAATGTCTGATAATTTATGGCGCCGCGTGAGGAGGACATGAGCTCTGACCCAAATACATCAATATATATATGTGTGTGTATGTGTGTTTGTATGTGTATGTGTGTGTGTGTGTGTGGACGTAAAGATGTGTGTGTGTGTATATGTGCGTAAAAAGTGTGTGTGGAGGAGACACGCGGGGCTTTTATTGTAGTCTGAATATGAGCAAAACTTTCCTTATGATCTTTCAGAAGAAAAACCAACACATTTAGGGCTTATAATAAACTTTGAAGTGTTTTGTACATTGTCAATAAACGCTGGAGCCACGTATAGTTGCATTAGTAGATTTTAATATTGTTATACTTGTGAGGGGGATGCAGTAGAGTGAGAAGGAAAGACATATTTACGCACCAGCCGCGTTCATATTTGACTATTTGAATAACAGCTGAGTTTAAACGCGTTTGCATTGATAAAAATGATCATAAATGTATAAAAGTTACAGTAGTCCTCTCGCTTTTACGCATGCGCCGATTGTACTGGACAATACTAAAAGTTATAGTTTGGCCTTTTGGATAATTCATAAAGTGCTTGACCCCGAAAATAAAGTACAAATGGGTCACATACTTATACTTTTCCTACACGTGTTTTTTTTTTTTTTTTTTTGCATTAATGATAGAATATGATTATTTTTAGATCCGCCGCGCGCGTAAAGATCACCACAATAATCACATATTCTGTAACAATCTGAGCGATCGATTCCATTTTATTTATTTCTATATTACTCTAGCAGCAGTCGCCTTGAAGGACTTTACAAAGAATAAAAAAAGTTTGAATACTGGAAATACAATAATAACAAAAATACAGAAGTCATTGGTTCATAAGGAGCGGGATCAACACTGTCCAGAAATGATGAGGAATGTTAATAAATGTTAATAAATGTTAATAAATGTAATATGATTAGACATTCCTGCGTCAGGGAGGAACCACTCAGAGAAAAAATTAGAAAAAGTGAGACCCAGACTGAGAAGGACGTCCGTGTACTTTATTATAAGCTGTAGAAAATGTAAACTTTTAGAATATTGTGGTAACTTAAGTTCTTTTCTCCAAAATGCGCGTGACCCAAATACTTCACATTGAAAACTACACACTGCAAACGGAGACCTTTCCTCAAACCACTGCTGTCCTTCTGTTGGCTTCGATAATTTATGATACACCAAATGTTGTAGCACGTATACGCCGCATTTCCTCCGCGCGCAGACGTTATTTACGTCCAAACAAACTCCCGCGTTATTATCTGACCGTTTACAGTTCACCAAACGCCCGTAAAGACGAGAGGAGCAGATCAAAATTCACCTCATCACAGAAACTACAGAGTCCACTTTAATAACTGATAATTAACAACTGCTCAGGGACGACGGGCGCGGAAGAAAACACAACCGCCGCCATTTTATGATACGTTTTTTTACGATTTTCATTATTATTTTGGCAAATTCCAGCCGCAACGTCATAAATCTGTCGCGTATGAAGCAGATGGGAGTGGGAGAGGAGGGGTGGGAGAAAGCGTACAGGCGAAGGAGGTGAGGGGAGGAGGGGGGGGGGGGGGGGGGGGGGGGGGGGGGGGGGGGGGAGGAGGGGGGAGGGGGGGGAGACGCGCTTTGAAAACGGCCTGCTTTATTACGTGTGGGGACTTTATTAGCGAGGTGAACCAGAGGTGATGGGGAAGAGTGCAGGGGGGGAGACTGGGGCACGGGGAGGGGAGGGCGACAAAGAGGGCGAGAATGAGAGGCAGTGTGTGTGTGTGTGTGTGTGCGTGTGTGCGTGAGTGTATATGTGTGTGTGTGTGTGTGTGTGCGTGCGTGTGTGCGTGCGTGTGTGCGTAAATAGCAGTGACACCTGTGGCTCAGAGCAGTGTGTAGTTATTTTTACCTTGTTACTCAGCGTTTAGTGCATTTGTAAAGTGTTGCACAGATTTGTTGCTTTAAATGTGTGTATTTTATTTTTTATTTTTTCAGACAACACACTCACAATATGTGCACACAAACCATACCAAACATAACACAATGACAAAAACACACTTACCAGGCAATAAAAAAACAAAATACACAATCTTGTAGATGGGATAGATGCATATAAACAGAAAACAAAAGACACAAAAAACAAAAAAGTAACTAAATCTAATCAAAGTCAAGTCTAGTTGTGGCCTGGTCGTACCACACCATAGTACTAATTACATTTTGTGCTAAGGTCTGGATTTGCTCCATTGTCTCCGTTAACAGGTGGGAGGGGCTAACTCCTTTTGCAGATTGAAACGATTGAATCTGAGTCTACCGTGACGTTTGTAATGAGCCCGAGTGAGTCGTTAGCATTTAGCATTTAGCCTAGCTTTAGCCATCTCCTTTGCCGCTAACGGAGCCCGTGGGGAGTAACGCCACAATCTTTGCAGCGATTACATTTGCTAAACATTCCTCTTGCTCTGGCTTCAGTTTCTTGATAGAACCAGACCAGAATACTTTACTATCGCATTCTTCGCCAAACTACAACCTTCCCGTTCGACGCAAACTCTTGACGTCAACCACAACTAACTACAACACCCGCCTCCCGCGCTCTCTGATTGGTCGGATGGAATTCAACCGATTGTATTCGCAAACACAGGGGCCAGACCCAGACGTTACAGGCAGGACATGATGATTAATCGGAGAGTACGGATGGATAAGACCAGGGTAGTCTAGTTTTTACTTTAAAACAAAAACTAGGAACAACCCAAAATGTCATTATCGGACTTTCCCAACTCCCAACTGCGCCTGATATGTACAGATACATTACTATACCTGAAAACTACTATAACTGTATATTTCTGATTGAATGTACATTTAGCGGGTCCAGCCCAAGGCCCGTGTGCCAAACCCGGCCCACTGTGGCATGCTGTGTGGCCCTCTGCTGCCAAGAGGTTCTTTCACAGAGTCATCCAGCCAACTTCAGCTCAGTTGTCAGAGGGGAAATGTCAGTGTTGCATCATCAGATAAAAAATGAAGAAGCACAAAATCAGAACAGCCTGAATCCAGTCCAAACCGGTTTAAATGTTCTCGGTCCCGGGACAAATCTACTGAACTAAAGCGGGTCTTACTCTCACTGTTTGACACTTTGACATTTTAACACTGGCTACACTTACTTTCACTTTCAATTTCAATTTTGATCTGACAAATAGCAGCCACATAGTGAATATCAGTTTCTAACCTTGTATTTAATATGAAATGTGGTCATTTTTCAAATAATAATAATATGCAGCAGGAATTTAAATTACTTTTATAGAACGACACATGATTCTGACCACAACATGTTCCTTCATCTACTTAGAAACATCTCAGCTCACTAATCTCTCTCTGGTCTCTATCTCTCTTGTCTCTCTCTAGTCTCTCTCTGGTCTCGCTCTAGTCTCTCTCTAGTCTCTCTCTAGTCTCTCTCTAGTATCTCCCTGGTCTCTCTCTGGTCTCTCTCTGGTCTCTCTCTAGTCTCTCTCAGGTCTCTCTCTGGTCTCCCTCTGGTCTTTCTCTGGTCTCTCTCGGGTCTCTCTCTAGTATCTCTCTGGTCTCTCTCTGGTCTCTCTCTATAGTCTCTTTCTGGTCTCTCCCTGGTCTCTCTCTCTCTTGTCTCTCTCTCTGCTCTCTCTCTGGTCTCTCTCTGGTCTCTCTCTGGTCTCTCTCGGGTCTCTCTCTAGTATCTCTCTGGTCTCTCTCTGGTCTCTCTCTATAGTCTCTTTCTGGTCTCTCCCTGGTCTCTCTCTCTCTTGTCTCTCTCTCTGCTCTCTCTCTGGTCTCTCTCTGGTCTCTCTCTGGTCTCTCTCGGGTCTCTCTCTAGTATCTCTCTGGTCTCTCTCTGGTCTCTCTCTGGTCTCTCTCTAGTCTCTCTCGGGTCTCTCTCTGGTCTCTCTCTGGTCTCTCTCTAGTCTCTCTCGGGTCTCTCTCTGGTCTCTCTCTGGTCTCTCTCTCTGGTCTCTCTCGGGTCTCTCTCTGGTCTCTCTCTGGTCTCTCTCTAGTCTCTCTCGGGTCTCTCTCTGGTCTCTCTCGGGTCTCTCTCTAGTATCTCTCTGGTCACTCTCTGGTCTCTCTCTCTGGTCTCTCTCTGGTCTCTCTCTGGTCTCTCTCTGGTCTCTCTCTGGTCTCTCTCGGGTCTCTCTCTGGTCTCTCTCTGGTCTCTCTCGGGTCTTTCTCTGGTCTCTCTCTAGTCTCTCTCTGGTCTCTCTCTAGTCTCTCTCGGGTCTCTCTCTGGTCTCTCTCGGGTCTCTCTCTAGTATCTCTCTGGTCACTCTCTGGTCTCTCTCTCTGGTCTCTCTCTCTGGTCACTCTCTGGTCACTCTCTCAAGCTGGTAGAGAAACTTTATATTGAAGTTTTCAATTGGTATCTTGTACCGATCAAACTCTATCTAGCATCACATGAGACCCGCCCATAAACAGCCAATCAGGACGCGGCCCAGAGAGTCCAATCGGGAAAGGTTGTTTCATAGCTTTTTTGCCTGTAGCAGGCTTTGGCTTTGATGTTTTTCACACTGGTTAGCCCCGCCCACTCACATGTCTCCTACATCCTGATTAACAGAGATCAATTCAAACCCTTGCTCTCTCCTCATTGGTTAATTCTCCTTCATTAAATCCATGTCAAGAAAGAGACGGATTCAAATAAGATTCAGTTTATTTGTCATTTGCAGCAAAACCACATTTGAATACATAAACAAATAAATCCACAAAATCCATCCATTTTCTACCCTTTAATCCCTTTCTGGGTCACAAAATATGGCACTAAAATAGACTTGAAAGAATTACACATACAGGCTTTAAGGACACACTGCAAACACTAGATCCATAAAAGAGGAAAAAATATGGCCTTAAAGGAGCAGTGTGTAAACATGTGGCCAGAAGTGGTACTGCAGCCTCTCCCACTCTCCCTGACTCAGGTTGCCAGATATGCAGACGAATCCAGCTGGGACCATAACAGCTGAATAGACAAGAGTTTTGTCAACAACAAATCTATAACCAACACCTTTTTCACAAAGATAGAAATCCTGGTTTTATTCCTTGTTTTGTCGTTAACCTTTTTTTCGAGACCTTTTTGAGTTTTGGCGCACGGATCACAGACTTTCCGATTGGTGAAGCGGTGGAGGGCGGGACATCAAAATAAAAACAATAACAAGATTTAGAGACTGGAAAAGTACTTTAGAAATTCAAATATCTCTGAACGACTGTTATCAGTTAAAGAAGTATTGGAAAAGAGCAGTTTATTATTATGACAGATTAGGGCCCTTTAATGATGACAGATTAGGGCCCTTTAATGATGACAGATTAGGGCCCTTTAATGATGACAGATTAGTGCCCTTTAATGATGACAGATTAGGGCCCTTTAATGATGACAGATTAGGGCCCTTTAATAATGACAAATTAGGGCCCTTTAATGATGACAGATTAGGGCCCTTTAATGATGACAGATTAGGGCCCTTTAATGATGACAGATTAGGGCCCTTTAATAATGACAAATTAGGGCCCTTTAATGATGACAGATTAGGGCCCTTTAATGATGACAGATTAGGGCCCTTTAATAATGACAAATTAGGGCCCTTTAATGATGACGATTAGGGCCCTTTAATGATGACAGATTAGGGCCCTTTAATGATGACTTGACATGAAGGTCTTACGTATTGCTGCTTTAACCTTCCTGTCGGTGTAGTACAGGTCCGGGTTTGTAGGTTCCGGGAATGACCAATATTTGTGAATGTTGATGAATGTGGATCCTCCGTGTCCTTAGACTCACTGTGTCCAAACCCACAGATATGACGGGTCCGGACGGGAAGCGAGCGCGCACGGCGTACACGCGGTACCAGACGCTGGAGCTGGAGAAGGAGTTCCACTTCAACCGGTACCTGACGCGGCGGCGGCGCATCGAGATTGCGCACGCGCTCTGCCTCACGGAACGACAAATCAAGATCTGGTTCCAAAACCGACGCATGAAGTGGAAGAAGGACAACAAACTGAAAAGCATGACCCTGACCACGGGGAGCGCATTCCAGCCTTAGAGAAACACGGGAAAAAACAAAGAAAATGTGTGTTTGTTAGAAAACAAGCATTTAACAGTTATCTGCCCATTTCAGACTGGTTCAGGCTGGTGCAAAACAAGTTTAAACTTGTTCAGACTGGTTGAGACCGGTTCTGACTGGTTTAAACTGGTTCAGACTAGTTCACACTGGTTCAGGCTGGTGCAAAACAAGTTTAAACTATGTTCAGACTGGTTGAAACTGGCTCTGACTGGTTGAAACTGGTTCAGACTGGTTGACACCCGTTCTCTCGTTTAAACTGGTTCAGACTGGTTCAGACTAGTGCACACTGGATCAGACTGGTGCTAGACAAGTTTAAACTGGAACAGGCTGGTTCAGACGGATTCGGACCGGTTCCGACTCGTTCAAACTTGTTTTAACTGGTTCAAACCAGTACAGACTGGTTTAGATTGGTTCAAACCGTTTCAGATAGAAACTTGAAAACACACATTCACACAAACAACAAATTCCTGATGAAGAGAAGATGAACTTGTTTGCGCTCTGAGATTCCGGAATGCCCCGTTCCTCAGCACTTTCATTGTCGGTGTGTGTGTGTGTGTGTGTGTGTGTGTGTGTCTGTGTCTGTGTGTGTATGTGTGTGTCTGTGTGTTTGAGTTGTGGTACTTTCATGTAAAGAACAAAACAAAGAAAATCAAAAATGTAAAAAACGTATGAATCTTGTGTCTTTACAAATGTATAAAGTCCAACATTTACCTTCTTCCTGTTCGATGTCTGTGTTTGACGCATGTGAGCTCTTGTTATTATTATTATTATCATTTTGGAATTGTAAAAGTCATAAGTTATAAATATATATCTGTGCTATTCTTGTGTCTTGATTTTTGACGTATTTTTTTTCTATTAAAAACTGCTGCTTTTTGAAGTGAAGCGCATTTGGACTTGAATTAGGATTTTTGTTCTTAATCCAAGTTGTATTTACTTGATGAACTTAAGTTGTAGATTTTAAAGGTTCAGGAAAAGGCAAAAAAATTAAATAAATAAGAACAAAAAATCCCTACTATTTTTTTATTTTTCAAATGTTTAAAAAATATGTTTTTTGTTGTTTAAAAAAATCTGTTTTATTTCCTTTTAAGAAAACTTCTACAAAATAATGTTGTTTTTATTATTTAAAACAAGAGGAAATCGGCTTAAGTTATTCTTTACATTTCAAGCTGAAGTCTGTTGTAATTAGTAAACTCTAAATATTCTGTGGCTCTGAAGTAATTACAGTCAAAATTCCGACATTTTCAAGTAAATCGTTTTAATTTTTACTTTGTGTTTTTCTCGTGTATCTCCCAAAAGCCTTCTTCATGTGTATCGTAATTAATGAAATGTGTGTGTGTATATATACGCGTTCTGTGTCTATTCGGGGACGTGATGCGGCGGTCACTTGTGGCTTCTTTATAACTGTCTGTTTACGAGGAGGAACATTACACGCTGCTCCTTTCATTCTGTGGTTGTGCGTAAATCTCCAGGAAATGAATGTGTCCGGCGATGACAAACGTGTGTGTGTGCGTGTGTGTGTGTGCGTGTGTGTGACAAGGTTCCCAAAGGTCTGTCAGCTGTTTGCCAATATGCTTTTTGTAAATGTTTGTATCTTGGAAAATATGAAATAAAACGGCAAAATCATAACTTCAGACTGCTGTTGTGATCATCCCTGACACCCAGAGATCGGAGGCAAGTTTATTTGTATAGCACAGTTCATACACAAGGCAAGTCAACAAGCTGAACAAAACACAAAGTCTGCCCCTGGTCTCTCCAAGATGTCTGCCTCTGGTCTCTCCAAGATGTCTGCCTCTAGTCTCTCCAAGATGTCTGCCTCTAGTCTCTCCAAGACGTCTACCTCAGGTCTCTCCAAGATGTCTGCCTCTGGTCTCTCCAAGATGTCTGCCTCTAGTCTCTCCAAGATGTCTGCCTCTAGTCTCTCCAAGATGTCTGCCTCTAGTCTCTCCAAGATGTCTGCCCCAAGTCTCTCCATGATGTCTGCCCCCGGTGTCTCCAAGATGTGTGCCCCTGGTCTCTCCAAGATGTCTGCCTCTAGTCTCTCCAAGATGTCTGCCCCCGGTGTCTCCAAGATGTGTGCCCCTGGTCTCTCCAAGATGTGTGCCCCTGGTCTCTCCAAGATGTCTGCCTCTAGTCTCTCCAAGATGTCTGCCCCCGGTGTCTCCAAGATGTGTGCCCCTGGTCTCTCCAAGATGTCTGCCCCAGGTCGTTCCAAGATGTCTGCCTCTGGTCTCTCCAACATGTCTTGCATCTTGGACGTCCCAAACTTTAGCAGAAATGACGTGTTTTGATAGCTCTAGTATTCCTGACGATTCTTACTTTTGTGGACGTGATTCAAGCCCTTCTTTGTCAAAGCTGCAGGTTGTCGGTTGAGGATGAGTTGCTTTGTTTCACATTTCGGTCCATGAGGAAATGTCCGTGTGTCCCTGGTGTAGCTGTAGGACTGTGGGTGGTCCTGCTCTGGGCCTGCTTCCTCTGTTTCTAACACCTCCTGGTCCTTTCTCTGTCCCACTTTTACATCTGAGGTGATTCTACACCTGCAGGTCTGAAAGCTGAGCTGACCACAGACAGGACACGGTGATGGGAGTGTCAGGGGAGAGTCAGGGCTCAAAGACAAAGAGGAGCTAGAACAACCCTAACCCTCACACATCTGCATACACTTTCTTCCGCTTTATTCTTCCCCTGATCATGAGGGCAGCCGTCTGAGCAGAGACACCCAGACTTCCTCATATGCACAGCTCATCCGGGGGAATCCTAAGGCGTTCAGGCTCATGTAAATGTAAATGTACACTATATTGTCCCAGGCATCTGACTGGAAACCAGGCAGTACGACCACATCAGTCCTTGTCACTCCCGTATTCGTCCCGGAAACCGGATTCGTCCGGAAGTTCAGTTTGATCCAATGATCATACGCAGCGGTAGATTACGTCACGGAATCTGGACAGAAGCGGAAGTAAATATAAAAAACTACCTATTCATTCCTAAACTTAACCGGCCATTCCATAAAATAACCCCAACCCAGCCTTAACCCTAAACTTAACCATCTTAATCAGACTCCTAAACTTAACCAGTCTCCACTTAAGGACATATTAAACTTATTGACATGCGCAAACTGAACTTCCGGACAAATCCGGGAGTGACAGTCCTGACTAGAACCAGGAAGTACCATCACATTAGTCCTGGTCTCAGGTCTCTGCACTCTGAGGAGCACAAGGACTGGCCTCCTGCTGGGACGCTGAGGAGCACAGGGACTGGCCTCCTGCTGGGACGCTGAGGAGCACAGGGACTGGCCTCCTGCTGGGACGCTGAGGAGCACAGGGACTGGCCTCCTGCTGGGACTCTGAGGAGCACAGGGACTGGCCTCCTGCTGGGACTCTGAGGAGCACAGGGACTGGCCTCCTGCTGGGACTCTGAGGAGCACAGGGACCGGCCTCCTGCTGGGACTCTGAGGAGCACAGGGACTGGCCTCCTGCTGGGACTCTGAGGAGCACAGGGACTGGCCTCCTGCTGGGACTCTGAGGAATATGTACGATGTTAAAGACTTGTGTGATTGTTTCTGTCTTGTTTTGTTCTGCACTTTGAGCTTTCTTGTGTGTGAACTGTGCCATACAAATAAACTTGCCTTGGCTGTATGAATGGAGGACTGCCTATAGATGAAAGTAAAAAGACTGTGAACCCTGGTGTTAAACTTCTGAATACTTTAGATTTCTATCCAAACTCCACCACAGCTCAGGGCCACAGCAGTGTCAGGACTGCTCTGTGGACACATCACAGACGGATGTGCCGCTCCCGCAATTAGGTTATACTCCTGCAGCTGCTGCACGAGCTGCTTTTCCACTCAGCGATTATTACTGTCTCTGCCTCTGTCTCTGTCTCTGTCTCTGTCTCTGTCTCTGCCTCTGTCTCTGTCTCTGCCTCTGTCTCTGCCTCTGTCTCTGTCTCTGTCTCTGCCTCTGTCTCTGTCTCTGCCTCTGTCTCTGCCTCTGTCTCTGTCTCTCTGTCTCTGTCTCTGCCTCTGTCTCTGTCTCTGCCTCTGTCTCTGCCTCTGTCTCTGTCTCTCTGTCTCTGTCTCTGCCTCTGTCTCTGTCTCTGCCTCTGTCTCTGTCTCTGCCTCTGTCTCTGTCTCTGTCTCTGCCTCTGCCTCTGTCTCTGCCTCTGTCTCTGTCTCTGTCTCTGTCTCTGCCTCTGTCTCTGTCTCTGCCTCTGTCTCTGTCTCTGTCTCTGTCTCTGTCTCTGTCTCTGCCTCTGCCTCTGTCTCTGCCACTGTCTCTGTCTCTGTCTCTGCCTCTGTCTCTGTCTCTGCCTCTGTCTCTGTCTCTGTCTCTGTCTCTGTCTCTGTCTCTGTCTCTGCCTCTGTCTCTGTCTCTGTCTCTGTCTCTGTCTCTGTCTCTGTCTCTGTCTCTGCCTCTGTCTCTGTCTCTGCCTCTGTCTCTGCCTCTGTCTCTGTCTCTGCCTCTGTCTCTGTCTCTGCCTCTGTCTCTGCCTCTGTCTCTGTCTCTCTGTCTCTGTCTCTGCCTCTGTCTCTGTCTCTGCCTCTGTCTCTGCCTCTGTCTCTGTCTCTCTGTCTCTGTCTCTGCCTCTGTCTCTGTCTCTGTCTGTGCCTCTGTCTCTGTCTCTGCCTCTGCCTCTGTCTCTGCCACTGTCTCTGTCTCTGTCTCTGCCTCTGTCTCTGTCTCTGCCTCTGTCTCTGTCTCTGCCTCTGTCTCTGTCTCTGTCTCTGTCTCTGCCTCTGTCTCTGTCTCTGCCTCCTTCTCTGTCTCTGTCTCTGCCTCTGCCTCTGCCTCTGCCACTGTCTCTGTCTCTGTCTCTGCCTCTGTCTCTGTCTCTGCCTCTGTCTCTGTCTCTGCCTCTGTCTCTGTCTCTGTCTCTGTCTCTGCCTCTGTCTCTGTCTCTGCCTCTGTCTCTGTCTCTGTCTCTGTCTCTGTCTCTGTCTCTGCCTCTGCCTCTGCCTCTGCCTCTGTCTCTGTCTCTGCCTCTGCCTC